GGCCCCGCACTAGTTTTATCCGGCACTGGTTACAAGGGGCAAGGAGGGGTGGTGGGTGGTGTATCTTGAAACACTCAGCGATGTGACCCCGGTAGTCACGAGGAAGCGATGGGGAAAGCACTCCCTGAAGGAACGCATCAACCAACAACGACAACGCATTTGGCAAAAAGCCCGCTTCCCTCTGCACTCGATTTTCCTGCCCCACACTTTCTGCAACACCATTACACACGGGACTAAAGCCACCTATTCTCACTCGTGTTATGCATAGGACTACAATACACCTATTTCTCTCGCATACGGGATAACTATAATCGGATCAGAGTAGCCAACGTGCCACCTGACCCACAATGTCAAAGACAGGGACGAAGACGAAGACGTAGCACTTGGGTTCCACTTCACCTGCAGACAGCCCGGATCGGTGATCGGGGCTTCCCTTTTATCTCTCTTGGCGCGGCCTGGCTCCACCCTCGGATGCGCCCTATGTCCAGAATATTCCCGACGGTTCCAGGTGCAGGAGGAAGTTGGCCGAATACCACTCTGGGACTCGCTCGTGAGCGAAGCAATGTGCAGGGCTTGCAGACCTCTTTTTAGAACCCTTTTAACTGAGAAACGAGGACAAATAATGTACCACGCGGTGACTCACGTCGCCATGCCGTTTGTACTAACATTGCCCCGGAAAATATTACCAATCTTTTACTGGCAATCAGTATGCGAGTGTGCGTTTATATCTATGTGTACAGAGACCAAGATCCCCGTATAGCCTTGAACGGACTGTTAGGGAAAGTGCTGTTAGCGAGTAGCACCTTTTAGAGCTGTGTACGGTACACGAGGGGATGGGTTGCCAGCAACCACACCCGACCGCCTTTGTCTCCCCCAGTGGCGATCTTTACGCACAGCACCAGGTACTCATTTGAGGCGGAGTCGACCTAAGGAAGGCATAGGACCGGTTCAGATAATCGTGGCTGGTATTTGGTGGCCGTGAGCGGGAATCGAACTCGGGTCGCTAACCGCTCACGGGTGATGCCCATTCGCCTGCTCGCCACTGACCCTTGTGAACGGCACGGCTTGGGGAGGTCTTCGTCCAGCAGCGGAGAGCTGACAATGAGACCATACGTGTGTATGGCTTGTTGTCCTTCGCCCGTACCTCCGATTAGCACGGTTGGCTACGTACGGTGCGAACGAAGTTCAACCCCTTACGCATGCGACTGCCACTATAACAACGCGGACAAGGGCAGCGGGTGCTCGCCCCCCTCTTCAGCACTGCCGCCGCTGCGTTCACGCGATATTCGCCGTTCGCCAAGTCAAGAAGGAGGCGCCCTAATTGCGTGCGAAATCTCAATCATCGCGATTTTTCCGGACGGTTTGAACGCGCGGTCGTGGACGTGAGTGGAATACTGCGGCGTGCGGCGTGCGCATGCTGACCTGTGTCCACGTGTTAATGCGAACACTGGAGTGTCGCGAGTAGAGTGGTTTGATTTGCCGTTGTGTTGACCTTTCCTTAAAACGCCTGGCCACGATTACCAATCCGTTTACTTGGGGGGGGGTCTCCCGATTGCGAAATTAGATCGCCGACGCGCTGCACCAGCCTCATAATTGCTAAACGCGTCGCGAGTGACGTGGAGAGCGGATGATTGAAATTGAGAGCAGTGTGTGTGGCGGTCTGTGAAGGGAGGCATAGCGATGTTTGCGAGCACCTATTAAGGCCAGAATTGATCCTTATGGCGGTACCCCGGGGTACCAAATAATCCAAAATTCCCGAAGCAATTGAATATTTTATTTCTGGGACGCAATTTTTTTCCAGGGGTGTACTTCACTCCGCTACTGGGGTATCCAATCAATCCGAAATCGGTGCTACTCCACGATGTCGAAACACAGCGAGGACGATTGCGCCGAAACCCTGAGCGCTTGTATGCACCTTAGTAGTGCATCGTGTACAGCTCGTCGAGATGAGTCGATTGCCGCATCGCCGACCACCAACGGACTAGAAATGACTGCATCACGGACATTATGCGAGAGCCGGGTGACTGGTACCCCGGGGTAACGCCATGAGGTTCGTTTATCGGCGCACGAGGGCGTCCAACTCCACGCACGACCGCCTTTGCCTCCCTGATGATTACGCCTCCGATTAGCAGGGTTAGCTACGCACTGTGCGAAAGAAGTTCGGCGTGTGTCACGCCACACCACGTGGTGCTCATTTTAGGCTGAGTCGACGACCTCGGTAGGGGAGACTCAGGGACCAGTTCAGATTCGTCACCGGTGTTAGTTGTGATCAGGTATCGAACTCGGTTCGCCCGGGTTCAGAGCACAGTGCGCGATAACCGCTATTCTACCACTCCGGCAACAGAGGTTTTTGGGTCAAAATCGCGTGAATACAAATACGTCTTGAAACCCGCCGGCACCCGGCACGGCCAATTAGCAAGCTTTGTCACGGAAGCAAAAGGTGCCAAATCGTTACTGGCACAGCAACGCCGGCACGTGACCACTCCCGCCATCACTTATGGCACAACCGGTATACACATCTAGGGAGAGGGTCCTTACCAAGGGGCCGTCCATAAATGACGTCACACACCTGAGGGGGGGGGGGGGGGGTGGTGGTCAGACATTTGTGACGATGAGTGACAGCAAGTTGTTTCTTGCTGTGATTATCTCACCTGATGACGGATGCTTGTGTTGCGCCCGAAACGTCGTGATTAAATTTATTGATTTTTTTATACCTACGTGACTTTACCGAAAGAACCAAAGAGTATGATTGGGGGGGGGGGGGGGTTTGAGAAATGTGACGTCACATCAAAATGCGCAACTTTAAAGAATTATAGAATTGTTATAACAACACTCCTGCAACATCAGAGTGCAGCGCCACTTTAAATACGCACTACAATGACAATAGTTTAAAGCGATTTGAAGCATGTTTTATTTTCAAAATGAAATTATGTTTTTTTGGGGGGGAGGCAGATCTTTGTGACGTCATATTTGAGTGGCGGGGGGGCTGACTTTTTGTGACGCCGTGTGACGAGGGGGGGGGGGTCAAAAATCGTCCAAAATCGCGTGACGTCATTTATGGACGTCCCCCAATTGAAATTTGGTAGTGAACCAGCATTGGTTGATGCGAGCCCTGGGCTCTGGTGATGAGGCACTGAATGTCGAAACTGGGGCCTCAGGAGGGTTTTGTTGTTGTTGCGTTGAGCCAATAATGCTGCTGCAACAATGCACTCCAATGAGGCACTAGTGGCTGATGATGGAGATGTGTTAAACATGCATGCGTTTTATGTGCAGGGATGCATATGTACACAATTAAGGAGATGTATATTAACATTTTAAGCAAGGCTTTAAGCAAGGCTCCCCCTCTAGTTTTAAGTTGGCACTTGTACCGTGGTTTACTAATCAACAGGTGCGTGCAGCGTGTCAATAATTCGAATCGTATGTGGGGCGGTGGCGAAAACTGTAGTTTGTTAGACAAACTGTAATAACAACAACAATCGCCATTCGCCACTAAGTGGCGGTGACGTCACCACGACGCTTGTGCCAGGCCATGTGCACCTTGAGGCCAACTCTGATAAACGCACACACACACACACAATTGGTCCAAACATTTCCCCGAGAAATAAAAATTCTAAATCGAACTCTAAATAATTCACGTATCTCTCACAGCGCAAAACAAAAAGATGTGGGATGACATCAGAATGTGTATATTTATTTATAGACTCGGGCACTGTTATAACAATTTACTCAGAATATGTACAACCTTGAAGTAAATTTACAAACAGCATACGCGTCATTTCCCAAACAAAGAGTCCAATAAATTTATCAGAGCAAGCGACAAAAAATGACTCGTCTTTTTGTGTGTGTGTGTCTTTCTTCCCTCCACCACCCTATTTTATGTTAATACAATTATATTAATAACATTAATAATAATAAAAAAACAGATAAAAAGCTAAAGAGAGAGAGAGAAAAAGAACGAGAAATAAATGATAATTAAAAACAAGATGCTTTGGAAAAATACAATCCTCCTAACAACGTTTGCTCTCTCTCTCTCCCATCATGTTTTCTGAGGTAAATATGTAAAAAAAAAATTATTATCTTTTTTTTCTTTCCCAGAGTTTAAATATTTGTCTATCCCCTTCGCATGCACGGGTATGTACATCACGTACACATTAACTTAACACGTGTCGCTATGTACACACGGAGCGGAGTGACCGGATTATAAGACGCACTTCCCCCCTCCCACCTATCCCCCCCACCCCTCTGTATATTTGAAAGCAAAAAAGTTGGGGGTGCGTCTTATAATCGAGTGTGTGTGTGTTTGGGGGGGGGGGGAGCGGTGGCGTAGCGGTTAGCACGCTGCGCTACGAACCACGCTTACTCGAGTCCCACTCACGGGCAACGCCAGTGACGGATTATCCGAACCGTTCATGGGCCTCCCCTAGGTCGACTCAGCTTCGCATGAGTAACCTGGTGCGGTGTGCAGTAAACATCGCCACTGGGGAGACAAAGGCGGTCGGGCGTGGTGCTGGCCACCCACCCCCTCGTGTGCCGTGCCGGCCTTCACAGGCTCTACTCGCTAACAGCACTTGCCCCTACAGTCTGTTCAGGCTATACAAGGGTGGTGGGGGGGGGGGGTCTTTGTCTTTGTATATGTATGTTGAACTTCTTTCGCACCCTACCATGTGTGTATGTGTGTGAGTCATCAGATTTGTAGAACCGTATTGACAACGGGGCACACCTTTCGCACTTTACTTTTGTCTAACTTTCCGGAGCGTCTTATTATCGGGGGAGTGGTGGCGCAGTGGTTAGCGCACTCACCTCTTAAAATTGGGTCATGTTATTGCCGTGTAGCTCACGTCGTGAAAAAGAGGTGGGGAGACAAAGGCAGCCGCGCGTGGGGGTTGGACACATCACCCACCCCCCTTTGTGAGCCATTCCAACGTCAATAGGCGCTCGCTAACAGCACTTGCCCCAACAGTCTTACGTGGGATACACGGGGGATCTTTATCTTTTTCTTGTGTGTGTGTGTATATATATACAGCATACGTGTGTTCTGTATATACATACAACCACAAAACTAAATATCTTACACTACGGAGGGTGACATAATCGATTAAAGAATCGATTATTTTTTACCTACGTGACTTTACCGAATAGAACCAAAGAGTTTGTATAACTTTATTGACACACTTTTTTTTTGGATCGTCTTTACTTTCCCAAACGTCTTATAATCCGGAGAATACAAGTACATATATTTTAATGTATTTTCTTTTTAATATTGTAGTGAAGGGAGCGGTTCTGGAAGCAGCCTGGTTGGTAACAACCTCAATACCAATGCATTGCAACATTTTATATATATACAGTATACTGCATGAGCGATCGAAAATGTCAGAATTGTTACACAAAGTGAGTCAATGCGTTATTAAGAATCTATGTCAGGGGGCTGTTACGGCTTACGGTCAAATACCACACCCACCCACGATCGATACTGACTTTGGGAGCAGGGCCCTCATCCAGCAGTGGACTGACAAAGTGCTGCACAGTAGTGTACTCTCCTTCCAATCATATAAATTATGCAATATTTCCACTAACAGCTGTGGTCGTTTTGTGATTGAACGGATTAGATTGGCGAGCATGGGGGAGTCGTACCGTGGGGTTTTCGGTGTTGTGACGCTCAGCGCAAAGGTGGTGATGGTTATGACGACGACGATGAGGAGGGTGATAATAGCGTTGATGATTCCAATAAAAAAAGTAAAATTAAAAAACACATATTTGGTCACTTTCCACGACCGCCTCTATCTTAACTTTCTTAATCGGCCACCCTCTATCCGAGTGTCTCCTCTCTCTCCATTATCAAGACGCGAGCGTCTTATTCCTCGTGAGATTTTCCTTCTGTTCTCAATGACGGCCCAGTCTTTGATGATAACGATGACGATGTTGTCGTTGTTGTCGTCGTAATCGTTTCTTGAAACTCGTCACTTGTCGTTTTCTTCGTCATCCAAAGGGCCGCAAGAACCGCCGTCCGCCCTTTGTCTTCCGCTGGCACGTCGAGCGATTGTGGATTTCGAAGCAAGTCGAAGCGGTGATTACAATGTCCCATGTACGCACGCACGCGCGAAGATTTCAAATTATACTTCTCTCAAGTCATCATTTTACAAATGCGCCGTGTTACACCAACATCAACAACAGCATCGACCTCGAGTCGTTTAGCGCCACCGTAATGAGCATCAGTAAAAAAAAATCACTTTAAAACAATTCCAGTTGCTTTTCTTGTTTTAAGCGCCAAAAATAAAAGTCCAGATTATTTCTTGGTCACCCAAACTTGTTTTGTTTTTAACCTGCCTGCGCTCACGGCGTGAACTCTCGACCCGCGGTCATTACCAAATCGATCGCTTGCGTTGCTCAGTGACGCGGCTACGTGTCTTGGCATGGGCCCTGGTATGTGTGTATGTTTGTTGAACTTCTTTCGCACCGTACATGGCCAACCGTGCCAATCGGAGGTGCGGGGGCATGCAAATAAAGCCCTCTGTCCAAATCAATTCTCCCCCAACCTCCCCTCCCCTCTCCCGTCCTCCCACCTCTTCATAGCCCAGCGGTCGTGGGTCCCTGTGCAGTTGCACCGCCTGCACACTCAATACCTACGCGACTGCCACAGCTGGCTACTACTGCTGCAGCTGCTGCTGATATAATTATCATTACAATGAAACCGAAGTTCGTCGCCGCACTGGCGGGTAGCAGGAGGAGGGGGAGGAGGAGATCACTTTCCCCGGTGATGTTTATCTTCTTTATCGGACATCTTCCCACCCGCGCTCGATCTGGACGAGTCTGTCCCTGAGCCTTGCTGCTGCTGGGAGCCGCTCAGGTAGAGTTTGTCCGTGGCTTTGAGCGCCTCCGTGAGGTAGTTCTGGAAGGAGGTGAGCGCTGCCAGGATCGCCGGGCTGCCGAAGCCGTGAGTGAGGAGGCTGAAATGCGTCAGGGCCGCCTGGATGCCGGGTTCCAGCACGGCGGGCGGCCTCGCGTTGCCCAGTGGGGAGCGGTCCTGGGTCAGCAGGTCGGCGAACTCCTTGCAGACTTGTCTGTGGCGCGCACACACGGACGCACACACGGACGCACACACGGACGCACACACGGACGCACACACGGACGCACACACGGACGCACACACGGACGCACACACGGACGCACACACGGACGCACACACGGACGCACACACGGACGGACACACGGACGCACGGAGGTTGCATTACTTGAAAAGGCGATGCTTCAAAACTGATTTTTGTGTTCACGTTTGTTGCCCTTTGGTTGCACCTCCGATTAGCGCGGTTGGCTACGTACGGTGCAAAAGAAGTTCAACGTACAGTACATACATAGAGGCGCACAAATTCGCGTAGATCCACGGACTCGCACAGTGACCCACAGACTCACATAGAGGCCCATAGACTCATCGAGACATATACCCACATAGAGACCCACAGACTGGCATAGTTTGAAAACTCTAGATTGAAAACGAATTTCTTTAGAACTGCTTTTTGTATTTAGTTTGTTGTCCTTCCCCCGCACCTCCGATTAGCACGGTTGGATATGTACGGTGTGAAAGAAGTTTAACATATTCAGCTTTTTATTTCAGTTCCTTCGCCAGTACCTTCCACAGTTAATTACATTCCGGACGGTGGCTTGCTTAAATAAAGTAGTTTTGGATTTCCATAATGAATGTGGTTAAAGATCTGTATTCCTAACCAGGTAAAATTGCATTTAAGACGAGGAATATTTATATTTTTAAAGAACATTTTGCGTAAGAATTAGTCCATTAAAAAAACACACACACAACAGAGGCACGTGATTGTTAACAAAACACCAGTAGAGATCATACAATTCCGTGTCCTTGTAAAACCTCACCCTCTTGCCGGCAACTGGTAGTTTTTTTCTTCTTAACAAATTAATGTTTCGTGTTCTCCGAACGCCAACAAACGAAACGAGAGAGGAGGTTTCCGTGAGCGCGCGCGCGTGGGATTCGAGCCGCGATTGTTGACACAACCGCGTCGTGAATTCGCATTGCCGTCGTATCAACACTCGGGCCCATCGAGCAAAACCCCACAAATTAAACCGCCGCACCCGTTTCGGACAAAACAAAAAAAAAAGACGAAGCCTACGAAGGTCTGGGATTCGCCCAGGGCCGCGCCAGATCTCGTCGGGATCTCCGAAGCCAAGCAGGATTTTTTTGTCGAGCCTGGTTAGTAAACCTGGACGGTTGACCGCCGGTGGGCTTACCCGGGATCACACCAATGCAATCTGAACTGCTACAACCTATACTGGTTTTGTTTTTATTTGAGGGGCGCCACGGTGGTGTGATCCTATCTTCCTCGCCTGGTATGCAGAGAGTCGGGGGGGTTCAATCCCGATCCTGACGCCTGCTGTATATGTGGAGTTTGCGTGTTCACCCTGGGGTACAGTGGATTTTTTCTCCAGGTCCTCCGGTTTTTCCCTCCACATTAACAAACATGCATCTATGTTATTTAGAATATTTTGCTGCTTGAAATTTCCACGTGATGATAAGCCCCTTTCGTTGACCTATCATATGTGGCCAGGTCGCTTCTGAAAAATAAGCTAATAGCTTAGTGGGCTCTATCTGGTAAGATACAAAAAACATTGTTTAGTTTTCTATATTTTATTTTGTCAGTGATTAGTTTACCCTTCCTATAGTTTGCACTCCCGTCGATGTGTTTGTTTGTTGTTATCACGTCCTGACGCCGTGCCCCTACTGAACATCTGTGTGGAAAAAAAAGAGCTTTACAGCTCATCGGATTCCTTCGGCCTTGAATAAATATTCTGCTTCTGACGTCTCACAATTCCCATCCCCTGCTTTCACGCTGAGCTATCATTTGTGGAGAGGTCACTCCTGAAAAGAGTTGCACAGCTCATTGGGCTTTAACTGGTAAAAAATAAAATAAAAAGTTAGATAAAAAAACAGTAGTTTAAGTGCGACCATTTGTGAGTCGCAAGAAGGCGCAGTATATACTGAGGGAGGGAAACAGACCCAAAAAGGCCCAAAATATGCCAAGCGGCCAGTAACAAGCAGCACAATCAACCTTGTAGTAGACCAGAGGTGATATGTTACTGGGGGGGGGGGGGGGGGTGCGAAGAGAGCGACATTCCAAAGTGGAGCAGTGAGTGGAAAGAAGGAGGATCGTGAGGTGTTGTGGCCTGCAGGATGATGGGTGGGTAGGTGAGTAGGTGGGTGAGTGGGTGGGTGAGTGAGTGAGTGGGTGAGCGAGTTGGTGGGTGAGGGGGTGGGTGGATGACTGGGTGGATGAACGTGTTACATGCATGTATATTTAACTTCTTTTGCACCCTACGCAGCCAACCGTGCTAATCGGAGGTGCGATGTGACCTGCAGTGTGGTGATGGTCAAACTGTGTGGATGAGACGAATCAGTCAGAGCGAGTCTTCAACACGGTGGGAGGAATCAATGAGCGAAGACCACGGGGAACGGTAACCATGGTAGAAGTAGTCGTAGCGTTAGACAGTATCAAGGAGGTAGCCAGCAGCCGGGCGGTGAACGAGCGAGTGGGCGGCGTGAATCGGTGAGCGCTGGTTCACCAACCACCCTGAATCAGCTAGAGCGAGGTATGTGTGGGGGGGGGGGGGGGGGGGGGCATGGGATGCTCCACCACAGAATAAAAGGCCAGCGGCAAAGATAAACGGAGAGACAGAGTGGGGGATTTTAGTCCGTCTCATGGATCCACCTGTTGCGTCCAACGCACAGCGGCCGTGAACGCCGGCGGTGTTCTACCTTGCCACCGGTGGCCCTGCAGGCCCCGGGGTGGCCTTTAGTATGGCCCCTGACGTGCACTCCCCACCCACCCCCCCCCCCACCGACAATACACAAATGTGAATAACCCCCCCCCCCCCCCCCCGCCCCCCCCGTTATCGTGCTACTGTCAAAAACCCCGACGGTTTCAAATGCGCGTGGCGGTCCTCACACTGATGATGTCTTATCGGCGAAATTGCCACCTATCCCCATCCGCCCCCTGCTCCCTCCCCCTCTGGGTGGGTGAGGTGAGGTCGCGTCTGAAAAAGAGCCACATAGCTCAAGTCGGGGCCATTACCTGTTAAAAAAAAAAAACGCTTAAAAAAAAGTTTTTAAAAAATTAGCGAAGAACGCTTCCGCGCTACGTGACGTGCGTGCGTGCGCGCGTAACGTAGCGGCGAGCGCCCGACACCGCGCCGCGCCGCACACTCACTTGGTGGCCAGCAGCATGTTCTTGCGCGTGTGCATGTCGGAGGGGTCGGCGTGCTGGCGCGTCAGGTAGTCGGCCACCGCCTTGCAGGGGAACTCCGTCTCGCTCACGTAGCCAAAGTCGCGCGCCAGGTGGATGGCCTCGCCTGGGGCACGCAGCGCGGTTAGTTAGCGCGCCTCTAGTTAGTGTCGCACTAGTCAGTGCCCAACTAGTTAGTGTGCTCTCTAATTAGTGCCTCGCTCGTTAGTGGCCCGCGAGTTAGTATACCACTAGTTAGTGCGTCACTAGTTAGTGTCCAACTCGCTAGGGGCCCACTAGTTAGTGCCCTACTAGTTAGTGTACCACTAGTTAGTGTGTCACTAGTTAGTGTCCAACTAGCTAGGGGCCCACTAGTTAGTATACCACTAGATAGTACCCTACTAGTTAGTGTCCGACTAGTTAGTGACCCGATGGTTAGTGTCCTGCTAGTTAGTGGCCCACTAGTTAGTAAGTGCCCCACTAGTTAGTGCCCCACTAGTTAGTTCAATTAAAATAATAAATAGCCATCAGCTCCCTATCGCCACGTAAACATAAAATGATGCTCTCGTTTATGTCGGCCTCTTGGCCTTATAACATTATGTCACGGGGGCCGCATTCGATTAAGCGAATAAACTGGACTGGTTCAGACCTTCTTGGGTCTCATCAGCAGTGTCGGTCACGCTAAACAAATGCCGAGTGCTAACATGCCAGGCCGGGCTGTACAGCCTTTGAAATTTTACAAAATTACATAAGCAGCTTTTGTTTGCACGGACAATGTAACACGTGACGTCGAACAGTATGACCCCCCCCCGCCCCCACCCCCCGATATGGGCGGGGATGATCTCAGCTCCAGTCCAGAGCCGTACCGATGGAGAGACAACCCCGGTGGTTGCTTGGCCAACGCCGTACCCGACCGCCCTTTATCTCCCCCAGTGTTGATGATGATTACACACAGCGTCAGGTATACTCACGGCCGGGCCCCGGGGACCTGCTCACGTGTAGGTCGGAAAAATGTCGATCGTGAGCGGGAATCGAACTCGCGAGTATACTGGTATTGCTCTTGTAGTGTTCGCCTTTTGGCGTTCTCTGGTCTGACGCTGGTGGTGAGACAAGGCGATGGAGAAGGCTTTCGCCGGTGTAGGCCAATCAGTCTCAAAGACAATGGGTATATTATCAGATTATGTTCGTCTGCACGTTCACCACAAGTACGGGTGGTTCATGCAGACTTGATGCCTTGAAAAAAACGTTTTTATTTGGTGCTTGAACATCTTAACACCTCCCGTATTAATTCCAGAAAGGGTAAAAAAAATATATAAATTCTTGCTTTTCATAATTTTTTGACAACGAGACGCCGGGTTCGTAGTAAGCGCAGTGCGATGACCGCTGTGCCGTCATCATCGCCGCCACCGCTCGCTCACCTTCCACTAGCGAGGTGAGCAGGGTCACGTTGGCAGTCTTGCGTCTGCCTGCCGGGAGGTTGAGCCCGATCTTGTCCAGTTTCTCCCTCAACGAGCGGCCTCCGTTTTTTGATTTCGCTCTGCGAGGAGGACGGGAAGGGGGTTAGCAGGGACCGACCGAGCCGAGGCACCAGGTCTACCCCACACCACGTGCTTTGCGCGGTGGTGCCAAACAACACACACCGTAATCTTTGGGCCTTTCGGTGAAGTCGCATAGATAGCTTAAAAGAATAACAAACAAAAATAACTGTTATTTTTTTCGTCATTTCCTTTGAACCTACCTACGTGACTTTACCGAAAGACTCAAAGAATATGAATTCCCGCAGTCACGAAAGCTTTAAGTCAAGATCTAACGCACACCGTGCCGACGCTGGTGGGTTGGCGCAGCGGGGAGCGCGCACCCGTGTCGCATCTGCCAGCCGTCTCAGTCCGGCAACCCCGTAACACCTGGGGGTAACGTTCCCGTGACCTCTTCCCGGCGACCCTTCGACACTTCACGTGGCCTCAACGGTGCACCGAGCATGGCGCAAGTGCCGTGGTGACGTCGCAACCGCGTGGCGACGGACGGCGGCGGCTGCTGTTGTTGGTGTCGTCCGTCGCGTCCTGCGCTTACGAAACGCGTGACCCCAGTCCAATTCCCGGCCCCGGCTGCTAACATCGCATTGAATTACGCGATGGCTTCCGTCAGATCGCTTTACAACCGGGTCACTCTTGCGAACTATCCTTGTTTGTATGTACTGTGTGTTGAACTTCTTTCGGAGGTGAGGACACATTTAACGGCACGAACATTTGGTCACGTCATGAGATGGCCTCGTCCAAATTGCAAGTTCACAATGTTTGCCCAGTTCCCAAGTGTTTAAACATTATGAACTTGAAACTGTAAGCACACCCACGCAGTAACATAACATTTGGCAGTACCCACACCAACATAGTCAATACATATAAATAAACAAAAGACACAGAACCCCCACATAGCCTTAACATACTGTCGGGGCAAGTGCTGTTCTGCGCGAGAGGGGGTGGGTGGCCAATACTACACCTGGCAGTCTTTGTCTACCTAGTGGCAACATTTACACACCGCATCAGGTGCCCGTTTCAGGCTGAGTAGACCTAGTGGAGGCCCAAGACTTATTCAGATAATTGCCACGGGCGTGGGCCATGAGCGGGAATCGAACCCGGGCCGCCGACTTCGTAGCGCAGCGCGCGAACCGCTACACCACCGCTCCCCACACACACACACACATCCACCCACAAAACACACACACAGAACACACACACACACACATCCACCCATGCACAAAGACACACAAACACACACACACAAACCCACCCACAGAACACACACACACACAAATGGGGCATGGCCAATCGCGTGGAGCGGGGAGCTAATGCTTACGCGGGTGGGAATACATTCTACCCCTTCTAGCTAATGAACATGTGGCCGCGTACACGAGTGGGCTGTAGCCACTCCTGCTCGCAAATGCGTGGGGTTTTGACTCGTGAACGCGCGTCTGTGAACGGAGTGGATCGTGACCAATCGCGACAACGAGGAGCCAATGCATTGAGTGAGCGACACTTGCAATGTGCCACTTCGTCTTCCATACGGCCGATGATGCAGATGTGGAGCAACGACTAAAGTTTCACGTGCAGCCAGATAACCCCGCCGGGAGTAGTGTATCGCTGCGATGTCTCTTTCGTATTTGGGGATCGGGGCATTGCGTCGTTCCACGTCGTACGGTCTTTTGTGGATGACCACAGTCGCACACTACTGGAGAGTTTTTTACATTTTCCGTTTGTGCATCAGATGTCCGCATCTGCCATGGTTTGTGCAGTGGATGCGGTTTAGGTTAGACCGTGAGCTTCGGCGGAAGATCAAACGCCAGGGGGTCTTCTGCGTTGGGTCTTCCGTGTGCCACCGTGACGAGCGAGCGTGTAGCCGTGAACACAGTGAGCTCTGTCGACTCGTGCGGGGGAAGCAGTGCGTGATAGGCACTGCCGGCGCACAACGTCTCTCAAGCCTCCCGCAGATCACGTGACTTCCGTGTGACCACCAACCCCCCCGCTCTGAAACACTCCCCTCCCACTGTGAAAAGAGATGCTTGCTCTCCACACAGCTCACTCCTCGTTCACTCCCTCCTTCTCTAGTCTCTCTTCCCTCCTCCCGTTTCCTCATCATCACCCTCGTCGTCATCTCCGACACCTTGGTCCAGCCGTTTCTTCTCCCCCCCCCCACCCCACATTCCATCCTCCTCCATTCCTGGTGCTCGTCTTGAGCCGTGTCCTCCGCCTCCTCATCGTCCATCCCGGGGACTTCCGCACGCGGCACCCCTTCCCTCTCCCGCTCCTCGGTACGTACGCGTGGACGTCGAATAGCATGCAGCCAACCGTGCTAGTCTCTCACCATCTTTCCACGCATTACATCCTCGGCTCCCCCTGCACCCGTCCGTGCCCCGCGCCCCCCGCGGTGTGTGCCACGTGTAACAGGGGTTCCATCTCCGTGAAAAGCGACGGCCGGCGAACCAACTCACCGGCGCAGAACGCCGCCCAGCAGCGACGCGTTGAGGCACTCGGGCGGAGAGAGGCGCCTCTGCACCTCGCCCACGGTCACCTTGTACTTTGACGTGGAGCTCAGCAGAGACAATCTCCCCGGCACGGAGCAGAAGACTTCTCCCGGGTTGCCCACACTGCCCACCAGGCTCCCCTTGCCCATCATCTCGCCCGCTCCACCCCCGTGCATGCCCGACTTGGACGAGCCGATGACGACTGATGGATACAAACCAAAAATAACGGAAGGAAGACAGAAACATCACGCACGCTAGAAATGAATCGATTTATGGACGTGCATAAATATTCGTGTACATTTTGTGTTTTGCATGAATACGCGAAAAGCCGGCTGTGAAACGTGCATCAGAAATGTGGACGTGGGCGAAGACATTCAAAGGAGTGCACGGAATGGAAAGCGGCGGGTACGAAGGATCAAGGGGGCAAGACCCAATCGTGGGCGAGATGCACGCTTGCAATTACCACGGGGGGACTGACAGAGAGAGGATCGCGTGCGATGGAGAGCCACGCTCGGGGTTAGAGGAGTCTTGTTGAGAGGCAAGCAAGAAACGAATCCGCTTGGGCGAGACAGGTCACCCGAGGGGACGGTGATGGCCGATGGTCGACACTAACGGCAGAGCGGCAGCCAAAGTATGGAACTCGTCCGAGAGAGAACGCGCACCGTGGAGATACAGCGACAAAATCAGCTCTACGTACAGTTGCTGGGTGGTTTGATTGCATCTTTTTTTTTTGGGGGGGGGGCGGGGGGGATGCCTTCATCCAGCAGCGGATCGATCAAAGCCCATGACGATGAACGTGACTGACGGCAGGGTAACGGTGCGTCCGTGAGAAGGGCGTACCTTTCTTAATCACGGAGTCGGAGTGGTCCATCAGATTTAAATTGAGGGCCTCCTCCATCTGTGGATGATTACGCACAACCGTTAGACACACGGCTGCCATGTGCGCGCATGCGCGTGCGTGTGTGTGTGCGTGTGTGTGCGTGTGTGTGTGTGTGCGTGTGTGTGCGTGTGTGTGTGTATGTGTGCGCCTGGAGCGGTGGGTAAACATCGGCACGAGTGGGACAACGACGCGTGGTGCTGGACACCCACCCCCTCGTGTGCTGTGCCGCCCTTCATAAGGTGCTCGCTAACAGCACTTGCCCCAACGGTATGTTAAGGCTATACGGGGGATCTTTGTCTTTGATTGCGCAAGTGCACAGCTACTACAGAGCGCACATCGCGTACTCTGTGTGTACACACGGTGTGTACAGGTGTGCGCACACTGTGTACACACGGTGTGTGTACAGGTGTGTACAGGTGTGCGCACACTGTGTACACGGTGTGGCAGAGGAGCGGTGGCGCAGCGGTTAGCGCGCTGTGCTATGAACCCGGCTAACCCGGGGTTTTCTATACTCATTCGACCAGCTCCCCCACTCCGCCCCCCCCCCCCCCCCCAAGGTTAATCGAACAACCCCAGTGACCGATCCGGTTTGGGGAGGCTTTCATCCAGCAGTGGATTGATAAAGGAGCTGTCCAGCGACGTCTCTGCCTTGCAGTGCGTGTGCTGTAAACACGTGACACGCCTGTTTTATTTGAAGCGCAGTCAGAAGCTCCGTTTCTTATTATTACAATAATAACCATGTGCGTTACGTATAACACAGCGGCATTGTTTTTGTCAATATAATTTACTCCTCCTCAAGAAAGCTGGACAATGTATTGACGTCTAAAGTTACAGTCCGAATTTGTTGGTGAAGCTAAGCGGCAATTAAACAGGTAAACAAAACAAATATTGAATTGTTGCACTGTACTGCGATCACCCGCATCTTAAAATATAAATTATCTGGTGCTGCTGCTGCTGCGTTGGCAATGTTATCCAAGCATAGTGAACACGAACAACAAACTCAACACGTTCCGTTGTCAATAAAAAAAAGGGTGGATGGACGATCACATCTTTAGAGCAGTTGTTCTTCTTCTTTACCCGGGGTGCACGCTGCATACCCCGGGGGTTCGAGATGCCCTCTCTTGGTAGGGGGGGAGGGGTGTCGAGACTTGGGCAGATTTTTGTTGTTTTAAGGTTAATCATCGAAAAGACAAATTTAGCACGGGCACGTAAATACGACCACTCTGTTTCATCAAGCCCTGTGTATTTATTAACATTATACTTTTTTTTACGACGTCTGCAGTCAAGTTTAAGAACCAACTAATTTCAAGTTTCTGCGTCCATCCGTCCCCCGTCATAATGCCCCCCCCCCCCCCACGTGACTGGGCCTGCGCCCCCCACCCCTCTCCTCCTGTGGGATGAGTCGACTGCGTTAAGGATCGTCTCGTCGGATCGAGCAGGCAACGCAACGCGCTCGAACTCAGGGCTCTCGGCCCTTTTGTTTCAATAAAGATTAAAAAAAAATAGTGTAGTTTACGTAAATATTATGAAGACAAAAAGCTGTTTCTGAGTATTCGTATAGAATACTCTGCGGGAGACGATTACGTTCGCCTGGCTTTGTTGCAGAGGTTCACGGTTCGGATCCCAGTGGCCGCCCTGGTTAATGCCGATTGTGAAACTGCATTATTTAGAGCAGTGGTTCTTAAACCTTTGCTGCAGCCTTGCACCCCCCTTTGGTTCTCAATCGCTACAAAAATGTAGAATGTAAAAACAATAAATAGGGTTTCATGAACCAAGTAAGTTGTACTTTAACACTTAGGCTTTCGCGACATTAAGCATCCATATTTACGCGAGCTAACCCAAAAATACCTCTATTATGGATAAGTTGCACCGTGCTTAATTTGACTTTTCGATTATTTACCTTATTAAAAAAAATCTGGCCGTGTCTCGCACCTCCAGAAAGGGCATCTAGCACTGCCAGCGGCTGTGTGCACCCCAGGTTAAGAAGAAGGAGAAGAACCACTCATTTAGAGTACGTGGCTGTTAGAAATCGCCACGTGATAAGCCACTTTGTTGAGCTATTCTTTGCAGCCGGGTCGCTTCTGATAAATAAGTCAATGTCTTTGTGGGCTTTACCTGATAAGATAAAAAAATATATGTATATAGTTTAGTTTTATTTATAAATGTATGTAATTGATTTGGTTATACTTTGCACTCCGATTGGTGTTTTGTTATTGTTGTTTGTTGTAACGGTCAGAACCCATGCCTCTAACTGGACATCTGTGAAAAAAGCGCTTTATAGCTCATCGGATTTCTCCTGCAGTATAAGTAAATATTGTGATGCTTCTGATCGCGCGGTGCGCGCGCGTGTGCGTGATTCCCGCTCACGGCCAACACCAGTGACGATTATCTGAACCGGTGCTGGACCTCCCCTAGGTTGACTCAGCCTCAAAAGAGTACACAGTGCAGGTAAGAACTCTGCCTTGGCCTTTTGCATGCTCACCTGGTTACACAGAATACAAGTGTACACTGCTGCCGGCCTTAATTAGGCGCTCGCTAACAGCCGGGGTGGCGAGATGTTGACTACCTCGCCAGGTAGGCAGGAGGTCCGTGGGTTCGATTCCGACCCTGGCGTCTGCTGTTGCGGTTGCACCCGATTCAAGAGCCGAATGGCTCACAGGGCTATACCAAATAAATAGAATTGGAAACAGAACTGAACCCCTGTATATTTGGATTTTGCGTGTCTCTCTCCCCGTGGTCACGTGGATTTTTCTCCGGTTCCTCCGGAAATATGTGTGAACAGTATTTGGCCGTCTTCTTTGGTTCTTTCGGTAAAGTCACGTAGAATGAGAATAAAATAATAAATTGATAAAATAAAATAACACAATAATATTCTACGTGACTTTACCGAAAAAACCAAAGAAGATGAATCATTGCAGTCACGAAAGCTTTAAATCAGTATTTGGCCGCTCTAAATTTCCACGTGATAAGCCACTTCGTTGAGCTATCATTTGTGATGGCCAGATCACTTCTGAAAAAGAGCTATATAGCTCAGTGGCCTTTACCTGGTAAATAAATAAATAAAATAATAATTAAGGAATGGCTTTTGTCAGTTGGTGTATAAGAACATATTCATATTTATAAAAACATTTGTAATAAAATCAACATAAAATTCGTCTTCGTAATGGGTCATTCCCCGCAAAACATTAGCTTGTTTAAATAAACGTGCAAATGTTACTGGTGTGTTTAAAGTAACTAACGTGGTGTGTATCCGCACGCGTACCGGTAAGGCCACGCTTTATCTTGGCGTTAACGTCACACTCGTAAGTACGTAAATAAATAAAGCGCAGAATTGATCGGAATGTGGATATGAAACCTCGTACACTCAGCGCTCGGTCCCAATAAAAGCATATCGCAGGTCTAGATTTTAAAATATATATAGTTAAATACAACATCCCCCCTTACAATAAAAAAAACAATGCCAGCGGAGTCGACAATTCCACCTCAATCGGACACCCCCATTGACGTGAGTTTTCGGAACCGCGCGGCCGTGTGACGGATAAAGGGCAGCCGGTGTCACTGCGAGTCCCCGGGTTAGTTTCGTCCCTCTGAGCCCTGCCAGCAATGTTGATTCACGAGCGGCGAGGACTGCGTTCCGGACCAAATCCATGTCTCACCTTGCCTCGTCCTCACTGTGCCCTGTGCTCCTACATGTGTGATGCACGGTGTTTTATGGGAATATAAGGTGCGATAATAAAGGGATCATTGCGGACAGGCGCAACTTGTAATCGAGTGGTAGTGCCTTACGCCAATAAGCCCTAACCCCTCCCCCCCCCCCCCCCCAAGCCTGTAACAGCGTTCCGGAAAAAAAGAAGTCTCGGTATTTTGTAGCCAAACGGCCCGCGAGTTGTTGCCCTACGATCGTCAGATCTGGTGAGGCTAAGCAAGGCCGGGCCTCCGCGTGGCTACAGGCTGCTGCGTAGCCACGTTGTGGGCAGCAGAGGGCAGTGCGGCGCGGGAGTAAATAAATCAATAAAAACGCATCGTCTCGCTGACGCACGCGCGGTGGTTTGCGCGGTAACGGAATTAGAGAGCACGCTGGACGGGTTTGGTGGTTGAACCCATCCTGATAATAATCACGCACACGTTGGTGGCGGAGGAGAGGGAGTTGTAGTGTGCATATGCACTACATACTACATCCACTGCTCTCTTAGCCGTATCGTTCAGACGTCAATATATCTTAAGCCTCCGGTCAATCGCGTGGCGTATGTGCCCCTAACCCCCACGGCTCTTATCATCTGCTCCGTATAGCGCGCCCTAACAACTTCGTGCCGAATATTCCCATTCAGAGTGAACTGGGGCGGGAGTCGAACCCCGGTCTGTTGGCTGGTGGGTTGGGGGGGGGGGGCGTGCTATGGGCTGCGGGGCTGCGCACGCTGTCGCGGCCAATCAGGAGGCGAGGCGCGGCGCGCGCGCGACCCTCGGAGTGGCGCGCGCGGCACGGGCGCGCGGAGCGACTGTCGCATCGCATCGCGCGCGGCGCGCGGACTTGCACACGCGCGTATGTGTTCATGCGCGTGTGTGTTCATGCGTGTGTTCATGCGCGTGCGTATGTGTGTGTGTGTGGCGACGTGGGTAGCGGTAATATAGCGATTAGCGCACTGCGATACGAACCCAGCGATCCGAATTCGATTCCAGATCACGGATATTATTTGAACCGTTCCTGGGCCTCCCCTAGGTCGACTCAGCCTCAAATTAGTACCTGGTGCGGTGTAAACATCATCACTGGGGAGACAAAGGCGGCCGGACGTGGAGCTGGCCACCCACCCCTCGTATGCCGCTCCGGCCTTCATGCTATACGGAGGATCTGTGTCTTTGTACGTCAGTCAGTACGTGCAATGTGTGTACGTGTGTGGAGGCGTGGGGGTGGGTGGGAAATTATTGGTGTGTTTTTTTCTCTCTCTCTTAACTGAACCATCACAAAGGGGCACTTGACCTGGGATTTGCTAAATTGGATAAATTGCGCCGGGTCTCCACGTCCCCGCTAAGCGAGGTCGATGTAATTGCATTGCACTGCTCTGCCGCAGTGGCAAAGCGTCCTAGCTATCTATATTCTAGAAACAAGTTTTGCTGGCTGGCTAGCACGGACGGACGGATGGACGTACAGTCAAAACGTGTGCGTTGGCACGAAATGTTTTGTTTATATATATATAAAAATACGCCTTCACATATCTGACGAATAAATTATCATTATTTTTAACAATAAAACATTTAGATTATTGGGTCTTTCGGTAAAGTCAAGTAGATATGTTCACTTTACTGAAAGACCCAATGAATTCCTGCAGTCACGAAAGCTTAGGTCAAGATTTAATAAACCATTTTTTGCAGACTCAGAATATATATTTATACTGGAGGAATCTGATGAGCTTTAAAGCTCTATTTCACATCTCATCAGCCTACACGGCTCACAGACTTGAACTTGAACACGCGACTTTGCACATACTTGCCATATGCTAGAGAGAGAGTCTACACTACACCGGCAAGCATCTGGCCAGGCTCCGTCATTCGGGGTCTCATCAGCAGCAGTCGAAGCAGCGGCAGCGGCAAAGCCAGGCTTGCTTGACCCCAAATATCGGTGAGCTGCAATATCCTAGCGGTTTGTTGTCGCTGGTGTTTTGACGGCCTGAGTTGTCCTGTGCTGTGACTAAAAAAAAAAACCACAACAGAGCTGCGTAGCTCGGTGAGAGGCTTCAGCCCCGCACGACGAACTTCGTCCCGAGGGTACGGAACCTCTGGGCCCTGATGTGACGCAACAATCGTTCCATTCCATTTCCCATTGCGGATTTACATCGCGCCCTCTCCGCGAGCACATGACTCAAAGCAACCGCACCGAACGTCGCGGCGGAGAAAACGAGGAAGCGAAGTTATGCTTCACCCCAAACCCCCCCTCCCAAAAAAACGACGCTCGTGATTGTATTATCGATCATGGGGGCGGTGGATGCTCAACGCTTGGCTTCGCGCGTCCGTAACGTGAGCCGATGCGCTCTTTCATCCCCCCGGTGCGGGTCATGGAGATGTGGATGCACACCGTCGTGGAAGCGAGACACGCAAAATAAAATGAAGAAGAAGACTTAGATGATTTAGTTGGTGTGTGTGTGTGTTTTTTACAAATATATTTCAAGTAAAATCGTGGACGTATGATGTCACGTAGAGCCCCTCGACCACCCGACGCGGCCAAACAAAAAAACGAAACCAAATGCAGTTGTCACGTGGACAAACACAGCTGCACGCCCATTGCTTTGCGACAAACAACCCCGTGACGTCGACAAGCGAGAGACATTCGATAGCTGTGGACCGTAGCGTTCATTGGTCGCGACAGCCCACGCAGGTCTGGGACAACGTGGGAACGCTGCGATGCTAGCGTAGCATGCGCTGCCTGCTTTGAGTAAATGCGTAATTAAACGTGGCGACGACATAGATCGTGCAGCATTAGCGTCCGCACGGGGAGCGGTGGCGCAAGTGGTTAGCGCGCTGCGCGACGAACCTATGCCCCCCCCCCCCCCCCCCCGCTTCGGTCGACTCAGCCTCGAATGAGTACCCGGTGCAGTGCGTAAACGTTGCCGCTAGGGAGACAAAGGCGGTCGGGCGTGGCCGTCAGCCACACCACCCTCTCGCGTGCCTTCGTCGGTGCTGCGGCCCCGCTGACAAGCGCGTGCCCGTACGGGCAATCTCGTCACGTTTGTGACACGCGCCACGTTTGTGACACGCGCCACGTGCTCAATAAACACCCGCTGGCCCGAGTCATTAATTCTCGCCAAGTCGCCTACTTAATACCAACATTATTAATATCGAAACTAAGTACCGTGGGTGCTTTGAATGCCCCCTGCAGACGAGAGGATTATTAAACAGGTCGCATCTATGAGCTTTTTCGACGATGCACCGCCGCTGGCGCTATCGTCTATTTATGCAGATTCCCAGCGAGTCAATGAATTCCCTCTGCATGTAATTACGCGAGTCCTTAATTGGCAAGGCATTACACGCTGAACGCTAACTGCAAAAACGTGTTTGCAAAGCATTGTGTGTGTGTGTTTGCCTGTGTGTGTTTGTCTGTGTGTGTGTGTGTGTGTTTGTCTGTGTGTCTTTGTGTGTGTTTTCAATAACACTTCACGTAGGCCTCTACACGTCAAAGTGCACCTAGCCTGGCATGAGCGCTGGGGGAGGGGAGATGATGGCGCAGTGGTTAGCGCGCTACGCTACGGACCCGGCGATCCGAGTTCGATTCCCCGTTCACAGGAACCAAGACCAGCGACGATTATCTGAACCTGTTATGGGCCTCCCCTAGGTCGACTCAGCCTAAAATGACTACCTGGTGCGGTGTATAAAATCACCACTGGGGAGACAAAGGCGACCGGGCGTAGTGTTGACCACCCACCACCCCATCGCGTGCCGTGCCGGCCCTATTAGGTGTGTGCTCGCTAACAGAGAGCACTTGCCTCCTCAACATTCTGTTGAAGGCTACATGGGGGATATTTGTCTCCGTATTTGTAAACATCAAACATTGAAGGTCAGCAATGTTATGACCTTTGACTTAGGTTAGAAAATCCGCAGCTGAACTGTTTCGCCATGCTGATACAGAATGATTGTCCACCCAAATTTGTGTGAGCGAGACCCATTTACCGCATTCGGCTCCGATTTGTCACTGACGGGTGTGTGCGGAGTGTTGTATCCGTGCGTTCGTTATCTGCGCATACCATTTTAAAACTATGGGGTACGATAATAAAGCATGTGTGTGGATAGGTGCATCTTGCACTGCTTTAGTCGTGCTTTGATGGGGAGTGGTGGCGCAGCGGTTAGCGCGCTGCCACTCCGAGCCCGGCAATCCGAGTTAGATTACCGCTCACGGCCAATGCCAGTGACGATTTTCTGTACCAATTCTGGGCCTGCCCTAGGTCGACTCAGCCTGGTGCGGTGTGTAATCATCGCCACTAGGGAGACAAAGGCGGTCAGGCGTGGCGCTGGCCACCCACCCCCTCGTGTGGCGTTCTGGGCTTCATAGGTGCTCGCTAACAGCACTTGCCCCAATAGTCTATTAAGGCTATGCGGGAGATCTTTGTCTTGTATTCTAGTGGTAGTTCCTTACGCCGATAATATATTTGTGTTTTTTGTGCACGTATCATTATTACGTTTCAGCCAACTGGAACGAGATGTTCCATCTCAATATCTAGACGAACGCAATAACTAAACTCAAGCCAAACCCTTTTTGACTCCGCACCCAACCCAGACACCTGGCGAAGGATCCAGCGCGGAACATCTCACCTGCTGCTCATCCAATCCGTGATGACCCATCTGATGCAGACTCAAGCCCTGCTCGGCCAGGCCCGGGTGGTCCAGCGAGCCGGGTCCACCGTGCAACAGGATGTCGGGCCGCCTGGCAGCCGCCGCGGCCGCTGCGGCTGCGGCGGCCGCGGCCGAGTAATCGCGGCCCGACAGCTGTGCCGCCAACCCCCGCTGCTGTTGCGCCATCGAAGCTTGGGACAAAAGGACCCCGTCGGACGTGGGACCGCCGCCTCCTCCTCCGCCGCCCCCGCCGCCGCCTCCGGGCCCGACCGACTGCCGCTGGCTTGCGGGCCACTGCTGCGACTGGGCATGGTGGTGGTGGTGATGGTGGTACTGTGCGGCGTGGTGCAGCTGGTTGAGGCCGAACGGGTCGTGCGCGTAGGGGTCCTGCGGCTGGTAGGCCAGCGGCTGGTACGGCGGCGGGAAGTAGGGGGGTTGGAAGTCGGCGCCGCCGCTCGTGGCGTGCGTCAGCGGCGGGGCGTTGGAGTACGGGCTGCCCTGGCCCAGCTGCGTGAGTCGCGGACCTCCATGGCCACCGACCCCTTCTGAGCGCTCCTGTGTTGTTTTATTTTGGGGGGGGGGGAGGTGGGCGGGTGGGGAGAAGGGAGAAAAGAGGACGCGGGGTGAGCGATGCGTGGAGGGGCCAGGAGAGAGGCACGTGGGTTGGTTAAAGCGGAGCGGATGATGAACGCGCGGCGGTGGCGGCGGTGGTGCACAAGGGGGGTGCGGACGAGGGGGGGCAGGGACAGAGATGGACACGGAGAGACAGAGGGGGGAGACACGAAGACAGGTACGGGGAGAGACGGGCAAGAGGGCGGATGTAGACGGAATATAACGCTGACGCGGAGATTAAAAACAGAGACGGAGAAAGAAATATATATATAATCAGAGAAGTACGGGACGGAGACGAAAATAGACACCGACAAAGACACGGATACAGGGGGAAAGACGCACAGGGAGAGATGTACAGAGACACGGAGAGATACGGAGAAACATCGACACGGAGAAACATCGACACGGATACGCACAGAGGCTCGCATGGACAAAGACACGATGGGAATCGCACACGGAGTGTCACAGAGAAAACTCGGGAGACACAAAACGACGTGGAGACATGCACACAGACGGAGAGAGACATGGGCACACAAACGGAGAGATACCTGAGGACACACGGACAGATTGAAAACTCTTTAGACTTAAAACTAATTTCTTGAGAACTGCTTTTCGTGTTCAGTTTGCTGTCTTTCCCCCGTACCTCCGATTAGCGCGATTGGCACACGCACGGCGCTAATAGAAGTACGTACGCGAGACACATGGGAGACACACGCACACGGGGGGGGGGGGAGAGAGAGAGAGGAGAGAGACGAAGAGAGACGAGCGCGCGCCACGCGAGTACACTCTCCGCACGCGCGAGTCGCGGCGGAACACGACGCAGTCGCCGTAACTCACGCGGACGTTAAATGCGTGGACTCTATTGTTTATAGAGCGCAAACACACACACGCGCACACACACACACACACGCGCACACACGCTCACACACGCGCATACACACGCACACACATACGCACACACACGCACACACACGCGCGCACACACGCACACACACGCACACACACGCGCACACACGCACACACACGCGCACACACACGCACGCACACACACGCACACACGCACGCACACACACACGCGCACACACACGCACACACGCGCACACACACACACGCACACACGCGCACACAGTCGTGCGGTCGTGTGACGTGTGAGAGGAGTCACAACGGTTGACGCTACCGCTGCGTTGCAGAACCCGGCTACCCGAGTTCGATTCCCGTTCACGGACAGCACCAGTAGTGACGATAATCCGAACCGATCCTGGGGCCTCCCCTAGGTCTACTCAGCCTCAAATGAGTACTTGTTTGCGATGTGTAAGGTTCGCTACTCGGGAAGACAAAGGCGGCCGGGCGTGGTGCTGGCCACCCCCCCCCCCCCCTCGTGTTGCCTTGCCGACTTTCATAGTTCCCCGCTGACAGCAACTTGCCCCAACAGCCTCGTGTCGGCCACACGGGGGATTTTTGTCTTTGTGTTTATTACATGACATGACCAATGGGGCGGACACACGAGTCGCGTGTGTTTATTGTTTACTTTAAACAGCTGTTATTTATTAAATGCGATCTCCCCCCCCACCCTCAATTTGCTGTCTGTAGTATTTTATTCCATGCCGTCTTGGAGATCACGCGCCAGTTGGGTGACTGAATCCCGTCATCAACTCTGTTCGGCTCTGTATGAAAACATGGCCGCTGTTCACCTATTAGCGATGTTTAATTGCGATGCACTTGCTCATTCGTTCATTCTATAGCTCGAGAACATGATTTCGACTTCTCCCTGGATTTGTGTGTGTGGGGAGCGGCAGCGTAGCGCTACGCTGCGCTACGAACCCGGCGACCCGCTTTAGATTCCCGCTCACTGCCAACACCGGTGAAGATTTTCTGAACCGGTCCTGGGGCTCCCCTAGGTCGACTCAGCCTCAAATGAGTACCTGGTGCGATGTGTAAGCATCGCTACAAGTGAGACAAAGGCGATTGGGCGTGGTGCTGGCCACCCACCCCCTCGTGTGCCGCCCCGGCCTTCATCGTCTGTTGAGGATCTATGGGGGATCTTTGTCTTGTTTTAAACTCTGTCGTTTTCCGTGAATGGCACGAGGCATCGCTGCACCCAGGATACGTTGTCTATGACGATGTTAATTACTCTGCTACTATACTCTTTGGTTCTTTCGGCAAAATCACGTGGGTAGAAATGAAATAAAACGAAGCAAATCACGACGTTTCGATCGCAACACAAGCAATCTTCATCAGGTGGAACAACCACAGCAAGAACAAATGCTGAAGTAGGCGAGAGAGCGAGCTGCCGTGGCAAGGAATCATTCTGCTGCCATACAACTGCTTGACTTGTAAAGCATCCGTGGACCTGTTTGTTGTTATGAAACTTCACGGGGGTTAGGGTGAGCTCTCCGAATGGGCTGTTTGGCCTGCATCGTCAACGGAAAATGAACTGAAGTGAAATAAGCTAATTAATAAATAAATAAAAAACAATTGCCGCTCATGAATCGCACTGTTATACTAGATATAATTGTGTGTATGCGCCTAGACGTAATGTTTGTTTTACCTGTAGTTTCACGCGTGCACGTGCGGTGTGTAGCGCACATTATATATATTTGTATATTTTTCCACAACTCAATAATGTATACGGTATTTAACTTTTTATCGGCTTGAGCGTCACACTCCCCTCGAGGCAAATTAATCGCTTCGCCTATGATGCGGAACCATGTTCCATGAAGAAGGGCTATTGCCCGAAACGTCGCCTACTATATATATTTCTTGCGCCATTATTTATTGACGAATGTTGAGATATTTTTTTCCATTTCATGATGGTTGGCGATTGTTTATAATTAGCGCGAGACTTTAAGCAATGTTGGCTATTAGGCTGATCCAGCCCGCACCTCTGAGTTAAACGATTTAAACTCCGTAATGTTTATGAAATTCAAATTGTAACATCAAAACAAATCAATCGTAATGATGTAGTTATAAGCACATCAACCTCACGCCCTATATATATACAGTGCTGTAATGCGTCTGTGTGTGTGTGTCAGATGTCACCACTCAAAGTGCACCTGGCCTGGCACAGGCGACTTGGTGACATCACCGCCACTTGGTGACGAATGGCGTCTCTTGGTGTTGGACAGAGATGCCATCCTTGTGACCCTTCCAGAACATCGCTGGATTATTTACCTCCCGTCACTTGCGCCACGCGATCATCGGCGCGAGACGTCAACGAGAGAAGACAAGGCAAAGACCCCCACCCCGTGTAGCCTTAACAGACTGTTGGGGCAAGTGCTGTTAGCGAGTAGAGCCTGTGAAGGCCGGAACTGTGGCACGCGAGGGGGGGGGGTGCCAGCACCACGCACGACCGCCTTTGTCTTCTTCGTGGCGATTTTTGTTGTTGTTGTATACAGTGCAAACCAGGTTACTCATTTGAGGCTGAGACCACACGCGATTATCAGACACTTTCGTTGAGCTATCAGCTGTGGCCAGGTCGCTTCTGAAAAAACAACAGCTAATAGCTCAGTGGGCCTTACCTGCTAAAATAAATAAAATAGTTTTCGTTTGTTGTCGTTGTGGTGTTACTGCTGATGCTGCGGATGTCGTCGGCAGTGGAGCACAATCGCGGATCATGAAACAAAATGCGAAAACTCGAGTCTGTTACACGACTATATGAAATGAATATGCGTGAAGGAACATTTCCCGCAAAAAAAAACGTCGCCCTATCTCTGCAATGAAAAAGGGATCAATGCCCGAAACGTCGCGTATGATTTATATATATGTATGTCACTTTTAAGGCCACGGAAGTTTTTTGGGGCGAATTTGTTGATGTATGCGAACAATTCGCGCGGACTGCACACCACAACCCTCCCCCCCCCCCCCCCCCCCCACTAAAATAGTAACATTATAGGACGGAAGATAGGGGGGAAAAGACAACCCTAAACGCTTCCATTTCAAAGCCTCTAAAGAGTCTCCCACCAATTCCAAATGCGCTACTTAAAATCATTCAACGCCGTGAAAGTCAACCACCTTTTGAGAAGGACGCAAGGGGCGAGAGAGAAAGAGAGGGGGCAGGAGGAGGGGCCAGGAGGTCGTGAAAAAATGTAGAAAATGAGTGGGGTGTCTATAGATGGATCGCACGCGTGGCCACCCGCGAATATCGACGGAGAACGAGGAGCGCGCGGCGCTTGAGAAGACGCGTGGAGGCGGAATGAAGACGTGAGAACAACTGCGAAGAGGCCGGTGTACAGCTTGGGCAGGATGCGCCACGGCTAGAGAATGAATTTGATTTGATGGCCAATGGTCTAGAGTGGCAGTAAACAAATAACGGCAGTAGTAATGATGATGATTATAATGGAACGCGTCAGACAGGTTTGTGCACGCCGTGAGAGATAGAGCGATGAAATGGAATCAATTCGTGGGCAGGTGCTGGCAGCGGCAGTGGCTTAGGGTGGGGTCTTCATCCAGCAGTGGATTGACCATGGCCGATTGATCTTCTTTGGTTCTTTCGGTAAAGTCACGTAGAATGAGAATAAAATAATAAATTGATAAAATAAAATAACACAATAAAAATTTCACGACGTTGTTATTTTATTTTATCAATTTATTATTTTATTCTCATTCTACGTGACTTTACCGAAAGAACCAAAGAAGATGAATCATTGCAGTCACGAAAGCTTTAAATCGAAATTCATGGCCGATTGATTATAACGATAACGACGACGACGATATAAGCGGGTCACCGCGCGATTCAACGGAATGCCCAAACAAAGAGCAGCGAGGGCCTGCGAGAGAGCGGCGGCGCTGATTGGCATCGTGGCGCCGCTAATTGGAGCGAACTGTGAACGAACGAAGGAACGCGTGGGCGTCAACGACGTTGGGAGAGGTGCGCGGTTCGAAACCCCGAGGCAGCCCCGGTCAATACTGCGTGCGGGTGTATTTAATCACCCCACCACCTCATC